AGTTCAGAAACTGCTGATCTGCTCTGGGGTTTTTTTTTATGAGCAAACATCTTTCTTGTTTACGGTTGTCAAAAATAAAAACTAGCAATATGTAGCTAGCTGGGGGTGTAAAACAGAGGTAAAGGGTTGATTGGTTCGAGATGGAAGAACGGCAACAGTTCTTCAAACAACCAACGTTTGCAACAAGACGTGTGGAAAACCATCAAGCCTTGAAGAAAATGTGAGAAAAGTAAAGTCCTCCGGACGTCCTCAGCCACAGATCCAGAATCCTCTGGAGTGACCCCATGTTCTCCTGGGTCCCTGCTCCACTTTTCCACTCCACAGAACGTCAAGCAACAGTAGAGACAGTAGTGCATCAAAAAACTTTTCTGAGCCTTAATATTTAGACAATATGAAGAGTATAGCTTGGTTGCTTCTGAATTAATTTGGTTACACAGTAATTATTAAAACTGTACCTTGCCTTGTGATATTCAGATTCAGACAGCATAACGCACCAGTTACAAAACTCAAATGGTCCGACTGGTTTCCTGAAACAGGTCCAACAGACTCTTCTGTCTTTCAAACCGAGTGAGCGGTATCGGGAACGTGGGAGGGACGTTGTTACGGTTGCCCAGTTGACACATCGGCAGTATTTGTGTGATGACATCATCACTGAATCTGTTAACCAAAAATAAAGGCGGTTATGAAGGTTAAAAAAAAAAAAAGGAGCCAAGCTGGTACTAGCGAGACAAGCTCAATAAAGTGTCTGAGTGTACATTATGATGGATTTTTGTTTCATCACCTGCAGATGCTCAAACAAAAGCACCGACCTTGACTAAAAAAAAAAAAAGAAAGAAATGGACGCTTCTGTTTCACCCAAAAAAAAAAAAAAAAACAGCTTTATGATAAGCTGGGAAATCCCAATCTTCTGCTGTGCCTCAAAGCGATCTCCAGCACTATCTCGACGTAAACAGCATTTGTGTTCAGCTCCTGAACCTGGGCCTGCATTCTCAACACCCAGGCAGAATGCCTTTGACTAATCCCCCCGGCTTTCTTATCAAGTGTGATTGAATACTGCCCTCAGTCCCCGGAAGACAGACTGCTCCTTATCTCCTTTATTTTCCGCTTCTGCGTCTTTCACTTCGCTCCACAAGAAGGTGTTTGTGGGAAAGCGGAGACCTGTTAACTGTTTAGCCCCCACCAGTATGCACATCCTTTTCCCAGTGGGTGTGCGTTTTTCCTTTTTTTGCTGTTGTTGTTGTCGTTCTTTTTTTGTTTTTTTCTTTTAAACATGAAAGGCTCCGAAACAAAACAGAGAGTTTCCACTCCGTTTGCCGTGCAGCCAGTCGGTGCTCAGTGGCCCAGATAAGGAGCGCGATATCGACGATGACAGCAATAAAGATGTATTTTCCCCACAAGCCGGCCCTTTCTAATTTGGATGATCTGCGGCAAAAATAAATGAATTTTGACAAAATGAAAAAGGAAGTGCCGCGTTGGGAAGGATTACGCAAGCGAGGAGCCGGGGGTTAAGTGGCTCCTCCGAGAGGGACGGGAGACGATTACCTATGAAATGAGATTTCATGGCTGCAGGTGTGTCCAGAAAAAAAAAAAAAAAAAAACAGTGATTGGTCAAAGTTAATGTTTGGGGTCAAGTAGATAATAATTATCCAGGAGCCTCAGGCGGTTTTTGTGTCCCTTGGTGAGCTTTGTTAGTGCATTAGAGGACAGTGTAGCCAAATGAAACTGCAGGGGATTTATTGGAAACTTCAGTCACCGTTGAATGGCACAGTGGTGACTCCTAGTGCAAACCTCACACGCTCTGTAGGAAATTGCCCAAATTGGATTCACGAAAATAAATTTGCCATTTTCGAAAAAATGGAAGTTTTTCGGTGACGTTTTTTTGCACTGGGATGAGTTGGTTTTTCAGCTGCACTGAATTTAGCGTCTTTCGCAAAGCTGCAATGAAAATACCTTTTTTCCCCACGTCACACAATCGTGATCGACACCCGGATGTGGCGACAGGAGTTCCGGTTGCCATGTTGGGCCGACGCCCGCTCTGTGGATCGGATCCGCTGCGGTGCTTCTTGCCACATGGGCCGTCGGCAGGAGAAGACTCCATGCGTGGCCTGCAGGATGTTCATGACGCCGGCGCTGATTTCGTGTTGATTTCTCCTTGTCCCTGGCTGCCTGGGAAAATTCGATTTTCAGCAGAACCAACGAATTTAGACTTGAACTTAACAGCTCCAGAACTAACCAGCATGTAACAGGCAAAGCAAATCAATACATTAACCTTGAACAAAGGGCGATACAAGAAAACTGCTCTGCCACCATGGAAGGATCCTGACATCAGGATCTTTGAGTTCTCACTGCATTTTCTGTAATATCATCAGTGTCCTCTGCACAGTTCTACTGCAGGTCAGCTCTGAAATGATTAATCGATCATTGAAATATTTGTCAACTGATTTAATAATTAAGTGTGAGTAGACTGAAAAAGGGCCATTTGGTGATTTAAAAAAACAAACATATTCAGAACAATAATTAAGCCAAAACTATACAAAAAAAAAATCGGAACATTTTGCATTTAAAATTAAAATCACTCTTGTCTAAAAATGTTTTATCTTCAAATTCACTAAAGAAGGGCATTTTAGCCAATAAAAGGTTTATTTTATGATCTAAGAAAAGAATGGAATTATTTGTTTATTTCCATCTCACATATTTTAATGTTCTTCTGATATTGTATGAAAAAAGCAATTAAATTTTAAAAATCTGTATAATGTGCCAGTTTTTATCCAATTAATTGTCAGATTGATCAACAGATCAATGATTAAGTGATTTAGTTGTAGCTCTACTCCACTTATTATAGTGATTTCTGAAGTTCACATTAAACGTTTTTCAACTAAAGCCACGTTGTTTCATTATTGTTTTATTCCAGTACTAAACGTTATGCACTCCAAATTAAACATAAGCAGTGTGTAAGGGAAGACTTTGCATTTGAGGAATTTTTAAAAGATCTTATTAGTCACCATGCGGCTCAAAATCCCCCGAAATCCGTTTAAAGATCGACTTTTCTGACTCCTTCTTCCAGAAGGGATGACATGGGGAACCTCGGGAGCGTGGCCAGAGCGGGTTGAAGGCAATCAAGCCAGCAAATAAGCAGGTGGACAGAACAAAGGACCATGAGAAATGTTCGTGGATGGAGCACTGAAATGCCGGGCTCCCTCCTCGGCGAGGGAAGCTTCAGACGCCGCATTACGTTTCCGCGGCAACAAGGGGAAGATAAGGGCTGTCACCCCACAGCAATCAAGCCGCACACTCAGCAGGTGTTGACATCTAGATTAACCTTGGATTGCTGGGCCCAATTCCCCCAGGGAGGCAGTTTCTTATTAGAATGCACACAGAGAGCTAATATCCAATCCTTGGTTTCTAGGGCTCCCAGGTACTCCCCCCTCATTTGCTGGCCTCTCAATCAAAGAGGGCCATCAGAGCTGCAAGGACACGGGAAACTTGGCGAGACTTTTAACAGAGGTTAAATTGAGCTGGAGCTCTCCAGGGCTCAGCCCCGGCACACGCTCTATCATTATGGACGCTTAACTCTGCATATGTTCAGAGATAATCCCCTTGAACTCGTTTTACTGCAAGCAAACAGCAGCAACGGAGTCTTCTCCAACCTGAGCCGGCGAGGAGCTGCACGACACGCGTCTTATTGGACCGAGCGTCAAATCTGAACCCCGACCCTTTCCAGGCGTTGTTTTGACAACGGTGTGTTGTAGAGCCAGAGAGGACGTCTTGGCAAGTCTTCGTGTGCTGCCTTTATTTCTTCCGTAACACTGGCTGAGTCTCCGTTACACACGTGCACAAAACTTTGTAGTCAACCCACTAATGTCAGGGTGGGGGAGAATCACAACTTCACAATTGCGATGACGCCATCGAATAAGAAAATCATTTAGAATACGTTTACGTCATCCTCCAAACACTTCCTGTCGTCTTCTTTGTGGTTTCTGCCAGTGGTAACATCCTGTTGTTGAGCGTGTGATTGGGGTGATGTGAAGTCTTGTCACTGCAGTTTTGCAAAAGAAGCCAATTTCAGTTCAGCCAAAACACCAACTAATCATGGCGCCAAAATGTTTCATAAACAAATAAATAAATAAAAAAGTTGATGTTTTACATGAAGCAAATTTATTTTTGAATGTTAAATTGTGCAGTTATGTGGTTAATACAAACACAACTATTCACAAAGAATGACATGAACCTGAGGCAGCCGGCTGTAACAGATTAGATATTATGCTGACTTATTAAAGCTTCAACTGCTGAAATAGTTTTTTCAAAGAAAAACAATTTCTTTGAAAATGACACTGTGATTTAAAGACAGGATTTTCTGCAGGTTTTCTTCATTAAGGTCGAGGGAAGGTGTTCAAAATCATCTGCGATGCAATAAATGGAAAAAAAAACACCGAAGCACAATACTAGTTATTTTAATTATTTTTATTTCACTCTCTTTTGTTTGAATTAAATCCGTCAATGTATTTGTAACGTCTTTTCACATTTTACCACAACAAACCCTTAAGGCTCAAACATGGATTCCCCAAAGTAGAACATAATTGTTAAAACAAAGGAAAATTATGCATCATTTTCAACTTTCTTTTTTCTTTTTTTACAAATAAATTCTTTAAAAACTGTCCAAGCCTCGTCACAGTCCTGCGTGGGCAAGAAAATAATCCCCATGCATGATACTGCCACCGCCGTGCGTAATGGTGGGGCTGGAGTTTTCAGAGTGGTGTGAAAAGTCAGTAAGAGTGTAAAGGTAGGTCCTGTGAGGTAAGGAGCAAGTGCTTTAAAAATTAACAGGCTATTAACAGGCTAGTTTTTATTTATATTATTTTTTTACTCAGTAAAAGAACTTAAAATTGAAAAAAAAAAAAAAACACGTCTGAATTTCTTCTGTTTTTCTTTCCGGCATCAAATCAAACAGTGGACAACATTATGGTTCAACCTTTTTATTTTTATTTCTTTTTTCTAGATCCACCATTTTACAATTAGTTATTACAGGTTGAGCTGCCTAATGCAACCAAAGCTCTTTAATCATTCGCAGCAAACGTGGGCCTGTTCTCCTCATTATCCCTGATTAAAACAGACATGCAGCTGATTAACCAGCCAACTGTAGTATTCACTGCTTCCACTGTTATTAATCAGCATTTCCTTCAAAAATGCCCTGTGTTATGAGACGATGTGTCTAAATGACACATCTGTGTTTTAGACACAGATGTGTCTAAAACAACAATAGGTTTCTGACAGTGGCTATAAAGCAAAGAGTGACCCAAACAGTAACCAGAACCATTCGTCGGTGTTCACGTTGTCGTCACTCTTCTTCTTTAGGTAGTTTTTCTGTTTCTCTGGGAGAATCTTTGAGTCATAAACGTGTGCAGACAGTGAAGTGAAATCCAGATGGGGAATCCCTCAGCCTTCCGTTTTTCCTCCCTGATGATGCTCTGAAAACGCCGACCACTGCTGAGGAGCAGGCACAAGACGACCTGCACGTCTCGTTTAGCCCTCGGTCAGCCATCGTTTCTAGAATGAGCAAGCGGCAGAAATAAATACTATGATTTAGTCCATTTTTGGGGGCAGAAAGATCAACTTATGGGACAAGAGTTTGTAAATACATTTATAAATAAGTTGGGAGGGAGGGGGGTTTTCCCAATTTTTTTTTTAATAGATTTGTGATTGTTCATTTAACCCTTTCAGGCTCAAATTACTTGCAAAGACTAGCTAAGTAGCATTTAGCTGTTGCAAATCTGCAACATGTGCCTGGAGAGGGTTAAAATCGCCTGTAAAACATTTCAAATTAATCGTTACTGTAATAGCGTAGCTGCTAGTTTACAGGTTTTTCTCCAAAGACAAGAACTTCCCTCGATCTCTCTGCCAATGTTTTGGTCCCCCCCCCCCCCAAATTTCTCTTTCACCTTATTATTCAAATTCTGTATCTTACAACAAGTGTTGATTCTTTCTGAGCTGTAGGTAGACGTGCTGACTGGGCGCTCGAGTGGCATAAAAGACATGAAGCCTCACGCTAAATTCCTGTAGCAACGCCGCGCCCGTCTCATGTTAGGAATGCTCAACGTCTGACAGAGCGCATGTTTCTCATGAGGAAGCGGGAGATCGGGTTGTGTTCAGGTTACTCTCCAGTGGTCGGTGTGAATGTTACACTTTGGGACAGGATTCTGAGTTCGTTCTGCTCTTCCTCTCTACAGACCAGGGACTCGTTGATTTTCTTTCTTTCTTTCATAGACAATTAAACAGTTGTCTAGAAATGTCTTGTCATAAGATATGCAGGCCGTGCTCCTTCAGACGCCATTCTTTCACTGCTCAGCCAGGATCTTCAGAACAGGAACAAATGCGGTGGTGTCATGTTATTGCGACTCTGTCTTGATCCATCTTTCGGGTAACTGGCCTACAAGTTGCAGAAGGGAAGAGCTGCTTTACTTCGTGCTCCATGCAGTCAAATAAAACCGGCCAACCATTGGTTGGCTTTTGAAACGTTGTGGTTGATTCCTATCTTACTAGCCCATCCCTACTGGGGTGTGTGGAAGATCTTGACCTAAATACATGTATGCCAGACATTAAAGTAAGGAGCCTAATCATTTATTTATACACGTCTCCTAAACTTCAGTGCTGTGCAGAAGTCGTTGGCCCTTATAGGCATTTTGATCTGGGATTACAACTGTGTGATGGAAGGATTAGGGCCAAATTAACTGGAGGGCAGTGAATGATGATGAAGTGTGCCGTTTCTTTTCTTTTCAGGCCCGCTCTGTGTGTGCAGCACTATTGCGCCTCGCTTGGCGCAAATATCTTTCAGCTCCAATCAGGATCTCCCAACAGATCATTCCTCGCGTAGCCGACAGGCATTTTGGGTATTAAACCACCCTCTGCAGAAACACGTGTTGGTGTATGTGTACGTTTAGGATGTGGCTGGCATTTCCGGGGCTTTGTATAGAGTAGACACGCTCTAAGAGCGCCCCAGCTCGATGGAGCCTCTCAGCATGGCGGGTAGGTGTTTCTGTAAGACTGAGCATATGTTCATGAGCGTCCAGTAAGACCTTTGCTGTTAACCGTTTCCCTTTGGACTCTCAGACTTTGCTGCTGTGAGTCATTCGGTTGCAGTACCATACAGTACAGTACAGTAGCACCATCTTGGACAGGAAGGAGCACTCTTCCCGCTCTCTCTCTCTCTCTCTCGCACATGCAAACACATCTTTACCTTTTATCCTAAACTGCCTCCCATTCCACAGATTGAAATTTACCATTCACCTTCTTCCGCCTTTGTCGAAAAGTAGAACAGTGCTTTCTGCCAGCGCCGGCGGTAGCAAAGAGAGGAAAATATGCGACAACTTGTGACAGCGCCTTTCACAGCAGAAAAGAGCTTCTTTTTTTTTTTCTCTAAATTATGTATCCAGGCTTAGGAGACTCTCCCTGGCCGTGGCGGTGTTACTTTCTCTGTATTACTTATTCAGCACGTCTAACCTTAGGGCCCATTACAGGCGGAAAAGTAGAGCTACACTATTTCCTCAGCCACAGCTGAAACCCAGGGTGAGTCATGTGTCTTGCCTTTCTTTAGGTTCCATCTGCTGCTCTTTATTTCACCGCAAAGGTTTCAAATCTTTAAGCTATAAGTGGCAAGTATTGCCAAGGGTAGTCGTCGGAGTCCTAGGGTTCTGCATATTTGTCACCAGGAGGTGTCATCTTTGCTTTGATGGCCTTTGATCTGCCATGTCTTTTCATGTTGGTTTGTCTCTGCGAATCAGCGGCTCTGAGCCGAGTTTTGTTCGCTGAAATATGCAGAGCCGCAGCCGTCACCTGCGTGAAATGATTAATGTATACCTCCGACTGTCACGGCGAGCGGAACGCCTTGGATGTTCATTTCGAATCATGATTCCAAGCCTTATACAGTGACTCAATGCGGACGCTCATAATTCCTTTGTGCCTGTCCTCCTTTGACGCGTTGTCGGGGCGGAAAACGCGCCGCGACCTGCCACTCTTCCTCCAGCAGCCTCTTGATGTGCCACAACCAGCGTCGTGCCATGAATAAACATGCGGCTGTACAAAGGGGCGAGTGTTTTCTTTGAGATGAGATAGGCAGTTTACATGTGTTTCGAAAGGGAGGATGGGCAGAGAGTAGAGCGACAGGGTCATGGAGAACAAAAAGGAGGGGGTAGGGGAGAAGACAATTATCAAGAAACAGCAGTCGCGTCCGTCAAGATCAACGGGGATCTGAACGGTCGAGACGTGCCTGCTGGAAAGACTCGTTTTTGATTTCGTGTCTTTACTGGAAGGTTTGAAAAATCTGGTTTATGGCATTGAGTTTTTCAAATTTGTGACATTTTTCCATGTCTGGAAACTTGACTTTCTGAAAGCTGAGCTGCCAGCATCGTCAGAAACAATAAACCGAGCCCTCCACAGTCTGAACCCATAAGACAGAGAAAAGAGTTGGGGGTTTGACAAAAAGCCTTTTTTTTTGTTTTTTGAAGGTTTGAGAGCATTCTGCGAGCTCAAACAACTCAATACCGATGCACCCGAACACACCATGTGGAGTTTCTCCAATTTGTACAAATTGCCAGACAAGTGCACTCTTCCACTGTGGCGATAGTGGGTGTTTGTCTTCTAATCAGCGAGTTGCCAGTTTGAATCCCTGCTCCATCCATGTCCTTGGGGGAAAAAAACACTTCTGAATTGCAAAAACGATTTGAAAACTTAAAACAAGCCTTGTGAAGAGTCGTAAGTGGGAACAACTCAGTTCATCAGGACAGACCACTCAGCTATCATCATCGGCAAATATGAGACATTTTTTGTATTATAAGTAATTACATACAGAAACAGCAACAGATTTTGTACCTTGAGAATCGGCCTGACTGCAGGAGTTAGATGCTTTCTGCAGTTAATAGTAATGTGTGTCTGACTGGTTTCTCTGGTGGTGCAACAGCAAACTGGTTTTTACCCTAGTTAAGAATTGGCATTACGTACCAGCCCCTGTGAGGAACTGGAACCTTTTTGATCGGGGCGTCTGATCCTCGGGTATCTGGTATTGATCAGATACACAGTAAGTAGGGCCAATACTTTAAAAACAATCAGAGTCATTGAATAATTTGTTACTTGGACTTCAGTCAGTTTATTATCTATTGCGTGTCATGGGATGTGTTTAAATAAGAAGAAAAATAAAACAAGCAAAAATGATCATAAATGAAATGGGTTAAGTCTCTTCAAACAAAATTGAGCCTTCACAAAATATTAATGGGAATGGAAACGATAGAGCCCATTTTAATGCGTCATTCGATTACTTGAATACTCATTGCCTTTCATTTTTGATTTCTGACATAAAAACGTACTCTTCTGGTTCTTAATTAGCTATTTAATTAATCTCTTGCTTTGGAACAAAACCAGAGAGTTGTGCAAAATTTGCAGCAATTTCCAGCATGAATATTTAAGGTGATGCATACAGTGTATTAAAAAGCTAAAGTTTTTAACCAAACCAACAGGCATCTCGTAGCATTACCAAATCAAAAATATTTAAGGGGCCCAAGACACCCAATTAATAATGAATCATAAATGCAGCCTTGAGTTTTTTTCTCTCTCTCTCTTTCTTTCTCTCTTTTATTGCAATCATAAGACATCTGCAATATTCAATGGTTTAATATTACCAGACACATCCCTGAGCATTTTAAGCAGATTATCATCTGGGTCTCTCGCTCATCTCCTTTCGGATGCAAGCAGCGCACGCTCTCATCCTTCTGGATGCTGGATGAATGGGATGAAGTGCTCAATAGAGGGTGCTGAACACTAGAAAAGAGGCAGGGAGATATTGTTGGGAGGTGGGAGGGGGGATGCAATCTGCCGTCCTGTTTGATTTCTGAGTGATGTCGTGAAGCTGCTCTGACTGCAGAAACGCAGACAGTGTCAGGGAGCCATCAGACGAGGCCCGAGGGACGGTCCGCTTGGAGATCAACCAGAAAAACAGACTCACTATGACATGCTGTCTGACCATGTGCAAATGCTGGCTGCGTTCACGAGGCTTAACGCCTGAATATTTATACGACAGCGAGGAAATTTATATGTAGCGAGGGATCCGTCTTAATAAACCAAGTTAGTGCTCGGCCGCAGAGAAGCATTCCAATATCTCACAGCGAGCGGCCATTGATTTACTCCGTTTGGCCAAATTAAATCCAGATATGGGCACAGATACAGGAGGAAGTGTTTCCTCCGCAAAAAGACACATTCCATAATTAGAAGTGAACTGAAAACCATATTCTAATGAGCCGGAAGATTAATCCCTCACCGTTGCCAAACTCTCGCATTTGGCGTTTTGTATTGTTTTCAGACCTGGAGAGACGAGGATATTCATTACACTAGCTGTGTTTGCATTGGCCATATAATTATTCAAATTGGTATTATGGAAATAAGTTTGCTTAGTGGAAACAGTTGTGGAACAAACGCATGTTCTCTGATGAAAGGCCTCTGCGTTACGATAAGGCGGTTTTTCGGCTGTGTCAAAATGAGCGTATTTTGAGAAACTGCAATGGAAACACTATTTTTGCAATCCCACCAGTCGTGATCATCAAGATGCTACTACTGGCGGAAAAGACAAAGAAGACAACAGGAGGCGGTCGGAGGACGATGGCACTGCATGTTCATAAAGACTCATAGGCTCCCGACATGGGAAGCGACGTCACTCCGCTCGGTTGATTTCCTATGAATCTTGTGCGTCGAGGCGAAACATCGTTTGCTCTCCAGTCGAGCAAAATTCAATATTCTTCAACGTTGTTTTGCACGTCAACGAGCTCGAAATTTCAACCATTGGGTCCGTTGCGTGGCAGACGAAAGTTTGAGCTCACACGTCAACGGGCAACGTGACAAAACAAAGTTGTCAAGTTTGTTTTGTGTCCGTCGCACTAAAACCCATCAGGGAGGTTTCCATCGACCAATGAGCAGAATTTTCTTCTTAGCCACTTCCCTCATGGAGGGAAGCATAATTTTAGTTTTTTGACTTCCTAATATTCACATTGTGATTATTGAGATACACATAAAAAGGCAGCATAAGTGAACCTGATCTTCCCTGGGGGGAAGACGTCCACGTTACAATTTTATGTTGGCTTCTATTTTATATGTGCCGTATAATAACGACCAATATTTACTATCACTACACATATTTATAGTAATTTTATAGTTGCGTAGCACAGACAGACAGCAGGCCTTTCTTCAGGACTGATGAATTCCCTCATGTTTGCCTGAATCTTCTCTCTTTTTGATGTTACCTTGGAAATTCGTCCAGTGCTCAGGCCAAAGTTTGCTCTGAATGCATCGCCACATTCATCACTCTGTCTCCGACGGTGTTGGGTTTCACCGTGGAGAAGACAAAGGCTATCTGTCGGCGTCAGTTGTCGCTCTCCACGTGTCAGAGGCCATTGTCATGTGAAGAAGCCAATTCACGTGTGATCTCACTTGCATTTCTCATTTAACAGAAACACGGCAATTGTTGTTCTTTTCTCTGGGATATAGGTCAAGATTTGCGCACATTTGCCGTGGAAACGCACGGTGAGAGCATGATCCACTGTCGTAGTTTAAAAGAGGATATTATTTCCATCGGTTTCCCATCAACGGTAGCCCGAATGGATCTGTGAGTTTCACTAGAAAAAAATTTAAAATCCAGAAAACTTATATCTGCATTTGTTATCCGTCTGCCTGTATAAGTAACCACCACAGAAGTTTGCTTTCTTTCTTTTTCTTATTTTTATAGATTTTTCTATATAAGTCTCATTGTGTGCTTCATTGGCGTTCAAATGTAAGTACTGAGTGATAGGAAATTGTAAAGCGTTTCAGGAAAAACACAAGCTTGTAGTACTAGTCATTGATTTCTTTTGAAAGACGGGAAACGGCACAGACAGAACTCTGCAAACTGTAACGGCCAGGATACCGTACTTTGATTTATCTCTTTTTAATCCCTACTCTTCCCCGCTGCTTATCTTCAGATTTGTTCTTGTTGCTTTCTAGCTCCTTTCTAGCCGACCGTATGCAGTAGTCTGGACAGGATATTTATGCATATATGCATGCACTTGTGCATAAATAAATAGGTAGTTGGTGAGATCACCCCAGAATATTCCCTTTTTCCTCCCTAGACCTTTCAAAAGCCTGATTTTTTTTTTGTACCACTTTTTAAACTGGGTCACGTTTGAACATAGTCTCTTCCCTCCACAAACAGAAATGCAAACAGGTTTTAAGCAGCAGGCTGCTTTAACTTTAACTCTCTCCCTAGATTGTATCTTCCCTCTCTGTGGAAGTTGATTTATTCCTTCAAACAATTGAAATGGTCCAAAAATTGACTCGATGATTCAACTGTAATATGTCAGATTTAAAAGCTGGTGGATTTATTGTCTGCGACTGGTTATCAGAGATTATCCTCGAAACTGTGCTCATTAAAGATTGCGGAGCAATTGGTGGTCCAGAACTTTTATTGCTGTATCTGGGACTCGGATGCTTCTTGAGATCTCCTAACTAACATCGGGATCTGTTTCCTGCCAGTTGAGTAGCTATTCATCCTGTGAAATATACCCGACACCATTTGGTCTCTTCTCCTGAAACTCCAAAATGTGAGAAATCCAGGAATTGAGGAAAAACTGCCTGACTCCAAATTTGAGGCATTTCTTTCACGAAAAACTCACAAAACACATATTTTTCCATAAAGCCAAGTTCTCAGATTGTTTTGAGAATTTCAATTGAAAGAGAACCAGTAAAAAGAAAAAGTAGTTTCTTTTCACTCTGGTCATATCTGTTGCAAATATGTAACGCCAAAACCAAAAGTTGCAATACAGAATGTTTTTAAAAAAAAATTTTTTTTAAAGAAAATCCTGAAAAGGTAACGTTCCAATTTGGCAACAGGGGTAAGATTATATTTTCCTGTTTCTTTTTGCCCCCTTTGAAGGGACCGTGACTGCAATCAGAGACCATTTCTCCAAATAGCTATCTTTGACTGGAAAACATCGACTTCAAACCTTTTTTGCCTCACTGGGAAATGTTACTCTGTGAAATGCAGAAAATTACCAACAGAAGCAGAAGTGAACAAGCCCTTTGAGGGAGGTGGGGGGCGGGGGGAGTTATCATGCAATAAAGTGAACACCAATGGGTTGGGCCACGACAACATATGTGTCTATGAGTCTGGAACCAATTGAAAGTGGAAAAGGAGCATGCAACATGCTCTGCTACGGTGAACGTTTACAGATTTATGTTTTGAAAATAAGAAAGAAAATGAGGCTTCCAGAGTGTTGATTAGGGTTGAAATGCAGACTGTGTTTTTGAACAAAGGTTGTTATGTTGTTCCCATCCCTGCCTTAGTTCCTCTTATCACAAGAGAGACCTCATAAGAATCTGCAGCTTCTCATCTTCCTTCCACTCTTTAATCTCGGCCTAAGTGTTTGGTTTATAGCGAGTGAAGTGTGTCTTTTTCAACTCGGAGAAGGAAAAACAAGGCTCTGTCTGGAGCCAGCAGCAGTTTTTGATGATATGTCTTAAAGGAACAGAAGACAGTGCTGACAGAGACAGTGCCATGACCTTTCACAGATTTATTCTGTTTATGCTTTGTCTGTCACACGCAAACGTAACCCAAGTAAATGAAAAAAGCTGCTTTCGGATAATTTTATTTACAGTATTTAGAGAAAAAATAAAACTATCCAAAACAACCAGGCTCATCGTGAAGATTAAATATCCTCGCTAATGAATCATGAGCAATTTGGGATCAACCACAGCTTTTCATTCAGTTATATGAGCCACACAGTACCAGAGCTAATAGTTTTTATTTAATAAAAACAGCTGGTGATCTGAAGTTGGCCAAGTTGGACAGGGGGGTGAAGGAGGCTGTCAGATAATGGTGTTCCTGCTAAAGCCTTTTTTTTTTTTTTACCCCGATTTTCCCTTTACAACAATCTTATAACGTCTTGCAGTGAATGCTGTGTTACCTGGTGGTGTGTTGAATATGCCAGATCTAAAATCAGACATATTCAACATTGTCTCGGCCCTTTTATCGCAGCCTGTGGGGTTTTCCCTGTTGGGGAGCCGAACGCTGCCTGTTGAATGCGACAGGGAGCCAATCAGAAAGCGCGGTGACGTAAGAACAGAGGGGAATCCCAAACAGTTGACATGGCAACTGAGAGTCCGGTGGACATCGGAGGTAATCTATTAAGGTCTAGATCTAGATTTATTGATAGATAGATCTATGTATCCATTTATCTATCTGTCGGTCTGTCTATCTATCTACAGATCTATAGATAGATTTACATTGATCTATCTACAGAGATCTGTCGTACTAGATCTATAGATCTATCTAAATATAGATATAGGTATATATATTGATATATCTATAGATATATATATATATATATATATATCTATATATATATATATATATATATATATATATATATATATATATATAGATATATATATAGATATTTATAAATATCTATATATCTATATATACATCTATGGATAGATAAAAATCTATTTATCTATCTATCTGTCTGTCTATTGTTTTTGTAGGGAAACCGGAGTGCCCGGAGAAAACCTTCATTTAAAGTACAATTACTTAATTTTACTAATAAAGAAAATTACAGACAATATCTATCTGTCTGTCTGTCTATCTATAGATACAACATATCTATAGATATCACAAAATTCAGGAGACTCTGCCAGCTATAGATCTATAGATAGATATCTATTGATCTATCGATCTGTCTGTCTTGACTATCTATCCACCATTTTTGTAGGGAAACCGGAGTGCCCGGAGAAAACCTTTATTTAAAGTATGATTACTTAATTTTACTCATAAAGAAAATTACAGACAATATCTATCTGTCTGTCTGTCTATCTATAGATACAACATATCTATAGATATCACAAAATTCAGGAGACTCTGCCAGCTATAGATCTATAGATAGATATCTATTGATCTATCGATCTGTCTGTCTTGACTATCTATCCACCATTCTTGTAGGGAAACCGGAGTGCCCGGAGAAAACCTTTATTTAAAGTATGATTACTTAATTTTACTCATAAAGAAAATTACAGACAATATCTATCTGTCTGTCTGTCTATCTATAGATACAACATATCTATAGATATCACAAAATTCAGGAGACTCTGCCAGCTATAGATCTATAGATCTATAGATAGATATCTATTGATCTATCGATCTGTCTGTCTTGACTATCTATCCACCATTTTTGTAGGGAAACCGGAGTGCCCGGAGAAAAACTTTATTTAATGTACGATTACTTAATTTTAGTAATAAAGAAAATTACAGACAATATCTATCTACCCATCTATGTACCTTTCTATAGTTTTTGTAGGGAAACTGGAGCACCCAGCGAAAACCTATTATACTTACTTACGTTTGCTAATATATGTCTAACGTAGCTGACGAACAATCTCACAAAGATGTTAGTTCAAAGTTGAACCACTTGGGTCGCACTCCTTGGCCAGCTGACAAACATCATCCAGTCGATTCAGGGAAGAGATGGGAATTTTACCCTCTTGCTACTTTTTGGGGAATTGTCATGGAAGCGCACAGTCTTGGATTTCAGTGAGGGAAGTTTGACAGGCTCGGTACTGCCAACTTTCTCATGACCGAGTGAAGGATTGCTGGTTTTTACGTCGTCATGGTTGTCAATAGGATCCACATAATGGCCGTGACTAGGATCCCCGTCATGTTCGTCAGTACGATGCCAAAGAACGTCGTGAGGATTTTGCCCAAAATACAAGCGAGTACAAGGCACGCGATGTCTGTGAGTAGAATGTCTGTGATGTTTTTCAGTAGAATGCCGGTGATGTTTGTGAGTAGGATGTCCATCAGGTTTCTCAAGAGAAAGCACATCCAGTTTGTCATTCGAACGCATCTCTTCTACCTCAGGAGAATAGACATCAGGTTTGCGATATGAATTTACGTGAGGTTTGTAACCAAAATGGACATCCGGTTTGTGGCCAGCATGCACATCCGGTTTGTCAGCGGAATGTCCCATTCTTCTTCCCACAAGGGACTTTGACCCACTTCTCTCTGGTGCTGCTGCTGGCAGAGTCTCCTGAACTTTGTGATAAACTGGCTTTTTATGAGCAACATTTTTACTGTCCTCTGGAGATGGGACCAGTTCAGGAAACCTGCTCTCACTCTTGTGTTGTACCAATTTGGATTGGAAACCTTCCTTTGGGCCATTTCCACTCTGAAATATTTCTCTCTGTCTTCTAATTTCCTCCCTAATGATTGGTTTAGTCTTCTCCTGGGTGCTGAATCTCTGCTGCTTCTCCTTCTTTTTCTCAATTTCTTTCAACCTATGCAGCCGGTCCGATTCCATCAAGGAATGCAACTCCTGCTTTTTCATCTTCTCCATTTCTATCTTGTTCTGCCGTTTGTATTCAACTTGATCGTCCCAAGCAGCAGTCAAAGACTTTTGCATTTCAGCTTTCTTTTTTTTCTCCTGTTCATCAAGGAACCTTTGGGGAATCCTCTGTGGAGCCATGTCCTTATAAAACTTTTGTCCCTCCAAAGCATCTTTGGCAGATCTGAAGTTGTGTTTTTTCACAACTTCAGATCTGGGCAAATCAAAAATTTCACGTTTGGTCTTTTTAGGCGGCTCTGATAGTTTTTCCTTCTGTCTTCTTGTTTCTTCGATGATTTTCTTCCTCTGTTCTTCTCTCCAAATTATCAATTCTTTTTCATAAATAAATAGTTTTCCAGTCCTCTTCTTCTGTTCCTCTCCTTTTTTAACTAAGGCTTCCAGTTTATTTTTATAATCAATTTTTCTCCTGAGTTCTTGGTCCAGTTCAATCGCTGTTTTAATATCTATTCCCTCTTCTGAAATGGAGCTGGACGTGGAGCAGGAGCTTTTGCTTGAATCAGAGTCGGAGGTGGAGGAGTCAGCTGTTTCAGGTTTTTTCTCTTTTGCTTCTTTTTTCTTCCGTCGTTCTTCTTTTTTCTTCCGTTGTTCTTCCTCTTTCTTCAGTCTTTCTTCCTCTTTCCTTTGTTGCTCTAAATACTTTGGAAGACTAGGCAACTTTTCCAACAAAGTATCCAAATAGTTATCTCTCCCTACAAATTGGGAATGTTGATTTAAGTTAGGTCTACCGTTTTTTGTTGTAATAAAAGGCAGCAGCCTTTTTGTTAACTCGTGCGTTTCCTTTTCTAACTTCTTAGCCATCATGATGAAACTATCAATCTCTGGGGTTCTGCACATATGACTCTAGAACACACGCATCACTATTTAAGAGGCTTCAGAGGTGATGTCATACAACCTTTGATACAAAGCATGGGATCCTAGTGACATCATCAGTTAGGTAGAAGAGTGACATTAGTTGCTATTGCTATGGTAACCAGGAAAAGCTCTGAAGTGATTCATGCTTTCTAGTGAAGGAGATGTTTCAAACCATCAAAACATTTCCAAATCAATTCATTCATATTGAGACATTTTTCCAACCATTTAGACTAGCTTCAGCCAAAGTGGCTGTAATTGATAAAGGCTTAACAATGTGCAAAACACAATCACCCAGTTTCCCATTAAATCTGCTCAACAGTGTTTTCCTCATCAAAAGATGTTTTTGATGAGGAAAAGTGTTTGATGAACTCAGGTTAAACTGTGGCTGTGTCTCAGCCAGACATTCATTTATCCAACGGCTGTTCGTAACCTAGCAACCGAAATCCCCAGAAGGCCAGATAGTGGCAAAAGACAAAACTAGATCCTGTCAAGCATTTTTCAAAATAAAAGACTTCCTCTCTCCATTATAAATCATGCTTTGAATTTAATCATGTTTCACGTCACCTTTCTGTAATTACTATCAAGTTAAATTTGGTGAATAATGAATAATGCTTAACTTATGACTATCAATAAGTCATGGAAATGATTCTAAACATATGTGACTTCTTCCCCCACATACAGCACACAGCGGAGACCAGTTGGGTGAATTTCTGTAATGAGTGTCATTAACGAAAAACCCAGAAAGCCTCCCTACTGGTCCACCAGAACTGGTGGACCAGACTGTGTCCTTCAAATAATCACTACAAATACATTTTTGTAACAGGTGATCGTATAGTGGATTTTGATTGATAACACAACTTTCAAATGAAATTCATACAATCTTTCTCTTATAAATAAATAAAATCAGGAAAATAAACATAGACAGCAGTCAAATTTAACTAATAAACTATTTAACAGTAACCTCTAACTAAAGGAGAGAACAAACAAACTGACAGACAGGCAAATACAGCAAACCGACAACATAATAAACAAACTGACAAACTTAACTGAAAAATAACTGACAACATAAATTTCTGACATTTAACACAATATACCTGTAATGAGTGTCATTAATGAAAAACACAGTAAGCCTCCCTACTGGTCCACCAGTTCTGGGTACTGCAACAAAACTCCACGTTAGTCTCAGAGCACAACCACCACTACTGTTCAGAAAGGAACTGGACTTGATGACCTACCACAGTAGAGTGCCTAACAGACTGTGTGGAATCTGCAGTTTTTCCTCCTTTTATAGGCAACCAGTAGGGGGCGCCAAAAAAAACACCACAGGACAACTATAAAACCCATTTAAGCATAATTTAATCGGAACCATTTCAACTATGTTACACATATAAATGTTAAGAGATCATCTGTTCTTTAAAAACTAACATACATCGACTCTTCAAATCTGGACTAGATTATTCTACGCCAATAACAGAATATTTCAAACCTGGTTTGTGATTCGTTAAATCTTTATTTGAATTGTGATGCTTCAGTAATGAGAGATTTCAAAACCTTTTTGCATGTGGAATGCATTAGAAATGAACTATCACATTTGAAAGATTATTTTACCTTCTATTTTCTTTCATTTTATGTCCGAGAGCACCTGCCTTTCTGCTCGGCTGTTGTAGCTTCCAGGGATCCATCAGCTGAGATAATAATGCCAACAACTTGTCAGATTCAGATTCATCATCACGCAACATAACATCAGAGATGAACAATCTATTCGAAGTCGGAATATCCGCTAGCTTTTATAAATTAAAGATGCTTCCCATGTCCTCAATTGGTCGCATCATTATTGCAAAAATGACAATATTGTCAAAATTCTTCTGTTTTCCAATCAGTGCCACTTTCCCCATCCCTGTCCTAAATTTGGGGTTGAATCCCCCGAGCTCGTACCTGAGCTCAGGGTTTTACTGGAGTGACGTCCTCCTGTCAGATAATGATGTCCTACAGGATGCATGTTGGTGTTCCCGCTCAAGACTTTTTTCCCCGCTAATGTTCCCTTTACCACAATCGTACAACGTCCTGCAGTGTGTGGTGTGTTACATGGTGGTGTGTTGAATATGTCTGGTCTAAAATCGGACATATTCTTCATTGTCTTGGCCCGATTATCACAGTCAGTGGTATTATATGTAAAGGTCATTTTTATATGTTAATTATATGTGGTTATGTTTATTCCATTAAAACTACGAAAAAACATAACTCACCTCCAAATCATAGTGCAGCTAATAGAGCGGCTGCTCCCGCCTCTTTTATCAAACGCCTTTTCTTTTTGTTTCGTCTTATCGCTTAAAATGATCCATAAACTATCACTACTGATTCTACATCGTCATCCATGTTTGATTATTCTAAATTCACGTTTGGTATGTTCAGCATTTTACTGGATTTTCTCCTGGAATCAGAATATTCGTGAGTGGAATCGGTTCTTGTGGTGTGTGTCTGGACACACGAACTGACCGAACCTTTTGGACTTTTATCAGTTCTGTGGTCACAAAGGTTTGGAAAATCAGCCGACAATCCTTAAACCGTGCCGAGTGAACCAGACATAAAACTCACAAGCTCTACTCCTCTCATCTCGTCTCGACCACTGCCCTAACGCTCCCTGACTCTGGTCACTATGGGAACGTTTACATATCCCTTAAATTTTACTCCCGTGAAAATTTTAACTCACAATAACGAATGAGTTATCGTGAGTTAAAAGATTTTAACTCACAACCCTGTTAAATCCTTTTAACAAGGTTTAAGGATTTTCAAAATAAAAGTTCCTCCGGACTCAAACAAAATATTTAATTATTTCTTGCGCGGCCCGGTACCAATTGGTCTACGGACCGGGGGTTGGGGACCACTGATGTAGAGGACTAGTTAGAGCAGCAGCACTGAATGTTTCACTGATAACTCCAGTAAAGAAGAAGAGGAGGAGGTAGCAAGACAGAAAATTATCATTTAAAAACATAAAGAATATGCAGACATAGCTACACATATATTTTTATTTTTGCTCTCCTATCAGGAGGAGGAAACCCACATTTGAGCAACGGTCTTCATGTACACTGACCAGCGTTTCTGAACCTCATGAGCTCTCCACTCCCCTTCAGCTTGGTTCTTTGATCAGGATTTCTTTGAGGATATCGCTCACCAAACAAATGTGTACTCATCTCATGTCACCGGATGGAACATCAACACCAATGTTACTGGAATCGAGGCATTCATTGGACTGAGACTCATCATAGATGTGGTAAAAATGACAGCTTTAGAGAATTGCTGGGGAACCAACAGATGCCACATTAGAGATTTAAATTAATGAATGATTCGCTTTCAAGACAATGATCTCTGACTTCCATTAAGGTACATTGGCAAAAATCAAACCTGTCCTTGACTACATGAGAAGCAAATGGTCAAATGTTGGAAGTGAGAACCAGTTCTCACACCGCTGGTACCTGACCGTACTTTGGCAAATAGTTGACATTGCTGTCTCCATCACTATGATGCAGCGGCACTCAATCAGAAACACCAACGTCTGAAAGAGTTCAGATTAGGTGTTTCCAGAGGACTCGTCCATCTGGAAACACCTCCACAGGATCAGAAACCCCACCAACAAGACCCATCAAGAATCCAAAAGTCTCCAGGCCCCTGGAAGGATATGCATCACGATAGGATTCTGTTCTGTCAGTAAAGGTCTGGATGCACCAGAATGGACAGACCTCAGTTATGTGCCAGGTTGCATTGTTACTTGTCAAAATGTTGTTTCCTCAGGTTTCACAGCCACTAGGAGTTAAGTTTCTATGAAGTGAAGTCCTTTCATGGTGAAGATGCTAGTAACTAATTAATTCATTGGTTGGGTTCAAACATGTTCAGTGTTTAAAATGAAATGTTTTATTATTACCACATTTGTTGACCTTTTTCCACTTTTATATGTTTTGACACACTATAGCTAAAGCATTGTTTAGAATATTTTACAATACATAAAACATTACAAAGATGTTGCTCTGTTATTTTGTAAAGGCAAAATATCCCGGAGAATACAAACAGTACATTAAAAAATAAAGGTCCAAAAAATAACTGTTATCATAATTGTCCATTTTGATAACTATTGAATATTGCCAAATTAGTGCCGCTACTTTTCCTATTTTATCCACAATTTTCACTCCTCGCCACTGATTTCTTATTTTCTAGCAAAAATGAGTCATGTTTGTGTAATGCCTTTCCTCTGCCAAAAGAAATCCATGAAAACCGTACATGTAGTTCACACAACTTTTCACGTATGAATGATGTGAATTACATGTGTAAACTTGTGATTTTGGAGCGATTTGTGGTAAAATCCCATGTGATTTTCATGTTATCACATTTCAATGCATGACGTCTTATTTAA